ATGAGGAATGTGATTGCTTAAATTCCTTGCTATAGCTTTTAATTGATACTGAAGATCCTGTAATTCGACTGCTTTTTTTTTCAATTTCAGATACTTGAATGATCTCTATACATTGGAACTGAGAGCAAATTCTAATGTTATGTCATGGGACATACCAGACACTTATGGTGTACCACCACCTCCCAGAGAATCCCACACAGGAGTTGCATACATGAGTAGTGATAAACCGAAGCTGGTTATATATGGAGGGATGAGTGGTACTAGATTGGGAGATCTTTGGATCTTGGATGTCAGTAAGTGCTGTTTATTTTTCCTCTCTCCTCTCCTACCTCCAACTCTTCCTCTTTTCTACATCCAGTTTTCCTCCTCCCTCCCTTTATAGTAGAGGGAAGTAAGTGTTTTAGTATGTAGCACACAGCAGTAATAGTTGCATGGACCTGTTGTAATAACAAATACTAGGTGACCTGAGCTCTCATTGTAAAGAGTGCAGCTTTCTACTACAGCAGATTGTACTTTGCTCAGTTATGTACCCTTCCTGTGGGCAATGGCCTTGCTGCAGCAGGCGGTGGGGAAAAGCTTGGGTTCCAATGACTCGTAGGGCATTTTATTGTAGCTCATGAAGCCCTTCTACTGGTCAGAAAAGTCGTAGCCACATTGCTGGGCACCATGTTAATATGTTTTGCCATACACCGTAACCTTTATACAAAACTTCCTCTTTTTGCTGCACCTGAGAGTTGAAGCTGCCCTGGAAACAGTTCCTTGGAACGGCATGCTCCTTAGGTGAGCAAAAGATAAAAATGGGAGGTCAAGTATGGCTTCACTGAATGACATACCAGCTAAATCTTGGTTGGGGCCTATCAGACATTACCTCTGAATAACCTGTGGGCAGTTTAAGAGTTTTTCTACTCCCTCAGCTTGGTATAGGATCTGGCTTCAGCTGGGACTTAAAGTATAAGCAGATTTGAAGTCTTAATAAACATGGACACGATGTAAGGAAGTTTTCGTTCCCTGTATGGGTGGTAGGAAAATGGAATGCATTGAAGATAGAGATTACCGAAGTCAATTCCATTTAACAAATTACAGGAAAAATGAGATACAAATTTTAATGTTGAAAGAGAATTAGTGCTCCAGGTATAAACAGCTAGGAGGCGGGGCATCACGAGCTAGATCTCACTCCCTCGTAGTTACCGAGTTAAGGACCAGGGGAGGTTATCTTGAGATGATTTCGGGGCTAGTGTCCCCGCGGCCCAGTCCTCGACCAGGCCTCCACCCCCAGGAAGCAGCCCGTAACAGCTGACTAACACCCAGGTACCTATTTTACTGCTAGGTAACAGGGGCATAGGGTGAAAGAAACTCTGCCCTTTGTTTCTCTCCGGCGCCCGGGATCGAACCCGGGACCACAGGATCACAAGTCCAGCGTGCTGTCCACTCGGCCGACCGGCTCCCTGGACAAAGGAGTTAAGGACCAAGGGAATGCACACTTTCCTCCTCAATCTCTCCCCCCCCCCCCCTAGCTTTTTGAACCTGTCTGAATGGTAGGAGTGTTATTTACCCCATGATTTGTGCGTATCTCTTCCTTTACATTTTTGTCATAATACAATAAATCCTTCATTTTGCATAGATAGTTTTGAATCTTTAGCACAATCAATGTTTCAGATAACATGAACTGGGAACGTCCAACAGTTAGTGGTGTTCATCCCCTGCCTCGTTCACTACATTCTGCCACTTTACTAGGAAACAAGATGTATGTGTTTGGAGGTTGGGTACCTCTAGTGCTAGAAGAGCTCAAGGGACCAAACAGTGAGAAGTCAGAGTGGAAGTGCACGAACACCCTTGCTTGCCTAAACCTTGGTAAGTGTTTATATTAATTTTCCTAATATATATTATCATGCAAAACAATGTTATGTATTTGTGTGGTTCACATTTTGATCACTGATTCATTACTACTGAATTGTATCTTAAAAAATTTACTGGAAAGACCTTATATTTATAGTACTGCTTCAATAATCTTTCTGCTAAGCAATAGAGAGTAGAGAAAGCGATGAAAATGTCATGAAGAAAAATGGAGTGTAAAAGCCAATAAGCTGCAAGATTGAGGAGAGCGTACCAAGATGGTTTGGGCATGTTGAAGAAATGGATGATGATAGACTGGTGATGAGAGTACAGTATATTGAACTGAATTTGAGGGTAGGAAGAGAAGACGGAGGTCAAGAAGAATGTGGATGGGCATAGCGAGTGAGTGTGGACAACACACACTATATGGTAAGGGATATGTGACTGGGGTAATAGCAGTTTGTAAGGAGCAAGTGCAGTAAATGTACAGTATTTGTTTGCGGGATGAAGTAATGGATGGCTGGTGCGGGTGTGTAGTGCTTGTTTATTCATGATACTGTGTACAGTGCACATCAAAATCACATTAACGTGATACATCAATGAGAAAATCGGTGAAAATATGCTCGGGAGGAGTACTCGGTGCATAGGTTTAAATCCTCCTCACAGCTCCTACTGATTTTCCTCACTATGTATAGTATTGTGACTGATATAAAGAATGGTTGAGTATTAGATTCATTGCCCATTTAAGGTGGTAAGAATCAAAATCAAAATCTCAATTTTGATTACATTGAGGCACCAACTTTGCTCTCACACTATCTAGATAGTTATATAGATATTAGTGATGGTGTGAAAGCATATTACAGTTCCAATAAGTCTAAATGTAAGCTGGCAATTGAGGCTGTTCTAAACTGAAAATATTCTCCAGGTACCTTATAACTATATTGTATTATAGAGACAAGAGAGGCAGCAGAGGTCTGCTGCCTCTTGCCATATGTTCCTTTATTATTTACACACGTTAATGTGAAATATGAAAAACACGATGTTTTTATTAACAGGAATCAATAACAAAAACTTGGAAAAGTTACATATTAAACTGTGTGCGGAGGAATGTCCAACACACTTGCCTTCAACATCTAGCCCTTTCATTTAAAGGAATTTCAGTTTAATGATTATCTGGGATAGGCCTACCAGTCATTTTGGTAAATTTAAGTTGCTCTATAAGATTTTTGTCGAGCAAAAGCAGAGGAATAGTGTAATTTTGGAGGTCTCTGAAACCTTAACCCATTTCTTATATATGTTAAAGTTTCATTTGCACTGGTTTTGATTTGCACAGTGTTCACAGGAATGTAACCTGTGCATAACTCTTGGGCCACCTGTATTATCAACATTAGTATGAGTATTACTGTAAGAGATCGGTAATCTGAATTCCGGTAACCCTAATCTTTGGATAATCTGAGTAAGTTCAAGTTCAAGTTTGAGTTTTTCCTACCTGGCTTGAATAAAAATTTGGGCTACAGAGATTTCTGGTGAAAAAAAAATCCAAATAAATTAAAGTGTTTAAATTGGTGGACTTAACAGCACAAAATATTTGGCTAACTACAATAATGTGTGTACAGTTTGTTGTAATGTTTTTTTTTTTTTTTATCCCCCAGAAAATATGAGTTGGGAAAATGCAATGATGGAAAAATTTGAAGACCAAATGCCCCGTGCAAGAGCTGGTCACTGTTCAGTTGGTATTCACTCTCGCCTCTTTGTGTGGTCAGGCAGGGACGGTTACAGAAAAGCATGGAATAACCAGGTCAGTTTCTCTCTTGCCCTTTTATATGAGAGTATTTAAGAAAATAGGAATATAAACTTGGATTTTATAATGTTAATAATAATAGTTTATAACCCCATGCAGATATCTGAATTGAAAGTAGGCCTATATATATATATAGTACACTATATGTGTAATCCATCAAGAACACTGTGGTTGAGGAAATTAGGGTGTCTAAAGTTAGATGTGTCACATAAGTAAATAAATAAATTATATATGCATACATCTGTTTATTTATTAACTGAACACTGTTGTTCCCTAGAGGGATGAAACAAATCTTTCAAGCATTGCACAAAATAGCACTCCAACCTCTTGCCTATTTATTTCACTCATCCCTTTACTTGCTTGCTTTTTTCAAATCCTCCTTTGTACCATTTTATATCATTTTCACTGACCACTTACCTTAGATTAGTCAATCAGCCTACTACTGATCGACTGATACTGATACTTAGAAACATACTGTAAATGGTATATTGTTTTACGCAATACTCTAGTAAGCACGGTGTATCACGCTAAGGAGGAGCCAGAGTCGCCCACAGGAAATAATAAGTCTTAATCTGTTCGGTAGAATGAAAGTGCCACAGGACGCAGGGGTGAATTGGGGATGAAAGAGAACTTGAGCATTAGGATAGGATGACTCAGGATATTTTTAATAGATTAATCAGTCATAATATAGTAGTTAGAGAAGTTAGATCCCAGATATATTTAATAAGAGATAACCCAACTCTCACAGATTAAATCAAAGGAAAGTGATGAAGTTTTGGTTTATCCTGTTCTCTTATAAAGCCAAGACTGAGACATACAGAGAAACGGAGCTAATGTCAGGCAAAAAGAGTAGGTGAGATGTGGTGCAAGTGGAAAAAATAACGTGGGGAAAAAGGGTATCCTGCTAAAGGCAGCTTTTTAGATGAGAGTAGAACGTAAACAAACTAAGCAGTGAAGGAAGGGTTTTAGAGTAAATGTCTTAAACCCTGTCCTTAACGGTCAGTTTTCTAAAAATCGCCACCTTTTTTGTCACTATCAGCTTGCCCTCTCCTCCAAGAAAGCCGACACTATTCTCCCTGCTGACCATGACAGTTTGGTGGTGGTTCTTGATTGTATACTCTCTAAAAAGGCTATCTGACTTTATGACGTAGCTCTTCTTGCTTGTAACCTTTTGGATTATCTTAAATCAACTTTTAACTCTTAACTGTGACAGCTTTCTAGCTTCTGTCTTTATGACTGTGATATCTTCAAAAAATATTTGATGTCATCTCCCCATCCTTATTTTTATGATCTTCCTAAAAAAAGGACTCAAATTTTGCCATCCTTTTCATCCTATTATTTCTTCATGAGGCTCTATTGATTATCTTCTTACCTCCTAGCTTGCCAAAACTCTCATTCCTTATCTTAGTACTGTACTTTTTTCCTGCTCACTTTCGACACGCTCAAGATTTTGACAGATTGCACCTGCAGCCCTCCTCTAAAATGCTAAATCTTGATGTAGAATCTCCTATATACTAATGTTCCCCTTTGTGATGTCCTCTTTCCTTAATCAGTAGGCAACTGGGGGCCTTTTTTGCTTCTTGGCACAGATGCCATATTGTTTAATTGGCTCTCATACACATGTCCATCATGAACATTAGTCCTGGGTTTTATGCTGTTGCCTGGCACCTCTCCTATTCTTTTGCCTTTGTACTTTATTGGCTTCCTTTCTCTGTATGTCCTGGTCTCATCCTCATAAGGGTCCAGGATGGGCCAAAATGTCACCACTTTCCTTTCATTTTGCATGTGTGGGGGTTTTCAGTGAGGTTATTGTGACATTGCATAACAAGATGAGATACAGATCTTAGGTCAAAGAGCATCAAATTTGAAGTGGTGGATTGCAAAAGCATTATTGATGAAATATTAGAAATCTGAGGTTTAAGGAAAAGAATTTAAGATGAGGTGTAGGTGATCTATATAGAAGTTGAATTGAAATGGGGTTGGATATTTTTGGGGGTCTTCCAGCCTGCTAATAACAACAGCTGGTTCTTGATGCTATTATTGTAGCACACCTGAGTGTTCGGGTGTATGCTGAGGTCAGATCAGTGTAAAATAGGAGGTTGTTAATGTATAAGTGCAAATAATGTGAGGTTGATAGGTATGAAAGACTTAAGTTTATATTTAGGGTGAAGCAAGACTGTCAGTTCAGACAGTATGATAATTCCAGCTGTCATACTAATGCAGAATGCCACCCAAGAAGTATCCCAACATTTGGCCGGTGATGTGCGCCATCCTCCCTTCCCATGGAAATGGAATGAATCAAACGCACAAGTTCCTCATCTCACTTGTGTTTTCTCAACTTGCATTCAGTGAGTCAGAGTGAGGAGCTTCTTCCACACTGCCAAGGCACATCATTATTCACTGTGCTCCATTGGGTTTGTCAGATCAGGGCTACACCTCCAAATGCTTCCACATCTCCTGCAAAATGCTTTCACTGACAATGTACTTTAAAAGCCAAATTCACTGCATTTGCCTGTATATTTTGTGTGGTAACCCCCTTGACCTTGTACTCAATATAACTTATTGTCATACATCTACTTCACCACTCATTCTCTCTGGGCATTCATTTAATACAGCCATACCATCATAACTGACTTCTCCCCCATCATACATTATTACCAATTTTTTATCTGATCAACTGGAAAAAAAAGATGCACTCTTGGATAAAATATTAATTTAGAATTAGTGTTTGTAGCAGAAAAAGCTCATTAATATGTGTGTGTGGCAATTCAGGTCTGCTGCAAAGATTTGTGGTACCTGGAAACGAGTGTGCCGGGATCGCCTGGAAGAGTTCAGTTGGTGAGAGCCTCGACGACCACCTTGGAGGTCTGCTGGGGTGCGACACCTACTGCTGATGCTTATTTGCTTCAGGTTTGTAAGATTTATTAAAAAAAAATAGTTTTTAGTTTTCTTTTTGTACGAGTTTGCTTTCGTTGCCTGTGGAAGTGGAGAAGGTGGAATGATTTCTCCTGAAACCTAATGACACACACCATCCACTAGTTTTCTGCCTCCCTATGTATTTACAGAAGGGAGACTGATTTTTCTGACTGACAGACTACTATATTATGAAATATTCATATCGAAACATATCTTGTTTAATTTCTTTTTCTGAAGTGTGTCCTCGTTAATACAGTTCTGTTATTTGAATTGACCAAACTTTTCCATTCCAACAGATCCAAAAATATGATATCCCAACACCAGCATCAACAGTATCGACTCCAACTACTCCTACTAGCACTCCTGCCACCTCCAATTTGCCTGGTACTCCTGCCAGTAAGCCCATAACCCTCACCCAGACTGTTTTGAGACCCGCTGCACCTGGAACTCTATCACCTATGGCTCCTACTTCTCCACAGACTATACGAGGTTAGTATTGCTTAGTACTGCATATTTAATGAAATTCAGAAAAGTACATCCATTTGCGCGCACACATACACGCACGCGAGCTTCACTGTCAATAAAACAGCTTTAGGAAAGGATAAGATTCGTAAGGGGTCACAGTGCACTTCCCCTCGACTACAGACACAAAAAATTCTCTTGAGCTTGCAGTTCTTGGCTTTATTTTATGTTCTTTGTCCATGGTATTAACCTAGGCCTATCAAAAGTCATTAGAACCTGTCCTCTAGTAAATGTCTAGAATTTTATCTTGATTTCTAAACTTCTTGAGCATATATCTTAAGATATTAAGGCTATTTTCATATCACTGGTTTAATCTAATCTTTATTGCATTGGTATATGTAACAGTGTATTTTTTATATTAAATTTTTTTAATTTGCAGCTGGTGGTAACATTGTCAGAGTACGTACACCTGGAACAGGCCAAATAAAAGTTATTGGTGCAGGGGGACAGACAACACAAATTTTACGAGGTGGCCTACCAGCCACTACTACAACTACTTCTCAAGGTGGCATGTCGGGTATTGCTGCCTTAGCGGCTGCAGCTGCCGCTACGCAAAAAATAACTACCAGTACTGGTAATACAGCATCGCCTACTACTGTGAAAGTAATGCAGTCTAATACATTAGTTACCCCACAAGGTGTGAAGGTGGCTACTACAATTGCAGGACAAACCGTGAGACTAGTTTCACCGTCTGGACAGGTAAGATATAAGCCATAATTCTGACTGATGCCTTCTTGCTAGTAATCTCTTCATTAATGTGTGTAGTTCATTCTCAAATGTTTTGAACTTACTTATGTGCAAGTTTTTGGCACAAAAATATGAGCTTTTGACTCCAATGGTGTTTAAATTTAAAAGGATTTATTATTAGCATGATTCCTGTGTTGAAAAATTTAATTTGGTTAGTTTGAGGATAGAAAAAGGTGAAGATGTTAGGCAGATAGTGCTTACCTAGCCATTACTACTGGAGAGTGAGGTCTTGCTTTTTATGCCCCGCCACCTAGCCATTTATATCTGACATGCTAATTACTTCTCTCAACATTAGCATTTTCCTCATATTTTGTCTTAAAGTTTGGAATGGAATTGGCTTCAACAATCTCTTCCTTCAGTGCATTCAATTTGTCAAAAACTTCTTTCTCATTTGTTTCAAATCAACTTCCATTAATGTCCTCTTGTCCTATTTCCTTTTAATTTAAAAAGGGTTCCTTTGTCACTGTGTATTCCCCTTGGGATCCTGTATGTAGTGATCATATCCCCTCTGTTCTCTATAAGGTTGTGATGATGAGCTCCCTCAACCTGTTCTCATAGCTGAGGCCTCTCAATTCTAGTACTAATCTAGTTGCAAACCTCTGACATTTTTCAAGTTTCCTTTTGTGCTTCACATTGCGGGGGTTCCATGCTGGTGCTGCATACTCGAGTAATGGTCTCACATAGGCAGTGTGCATAGACTTGAAAGCCTCCTTGTTTGGATTCATAAATTATGTTCTTATATTTGCTAACTTCCCATATGCTGCTTATATTATCCTGTTCACATGAGCTTCTGCTGTTAATGTTTGGATTATGTCTAATCCTAGATATTTTTCTCTTATTGGTTTTTATAATTACCTATCCCTTATGATATACTTAAAATGAAGTACAAGTATTCTCCCTTACCCATTTTTATTATGTTACACTTCCTTGGATTGAAATCCAGCAGCCATTTATATGCCCACTTCTGAAGTTTAAGGTCTTCTTATAGCAACCTACTGTTTGCTTTGGTTCTCTTATTAATTTTGCATCATCTGCAAACATTGACAGGTATGAACTCACTCCCTCTTGAAGGTTGTTTACATAAATTAGAAAGCCTTGTGGAACACTACTTTCCCCATGTCTCTAGCCTGACATATCCTCTCTGACCTTTTTTCATTTCCATCAGGTACTTACATGCCCAATCTAATACCTTTCCAGTTGTTTCCACTTGTCTCTCCATTTTGTGTTAGGAACTGTATCAAAAACTTTCCGGCCCTTGTAGGAACTGTATCAAAAACTTTCCGGCCCTTGTAGGAACTGTATCAAAAACTTTCCGGCCCTTGTAGGAACTGTATCAAAAACTTTCCGGCCCTTGTAGGAACTGTATCAAAAACTTTCTGGCCCTTGTCTTATTTTGATGACCCTGTCATGGAATTCATTCAAGTTTGGTAAGCATAATTTTCCCTCTGAAGCTGCCAACTAGTCTCTAGTAGGTGATCAATAATTCCTTAGATCCTGGTGTGGTTCCTGGGGTTGGAGGACTCCATGTAGGTAGTTCTGGGAGATTCAGGGGAAGGAAACTCTCTTATAAAATTATTTCCTCTGCATTTTTTATTTTTTACTTTACAAATACATTAGAATGATAGAAATTTAAATATATTGTATTTGCTTTGTTCAGTTTGGGTTTGAATGGGGCTTATTACTATAATATATAATGTATCATTTGTAGGTTGTAAGGTACAGTAATGTAAAATTACTGTACCTTACATGTACAAATAGAACTTTGTTTGAACTTGAATAATTTAAATTGATCAACCCGTTGACATGTTGCATATACAGGACTTATAAAAAAATGTGTTGCTTGATCACGAATCGGTATGTGAATTTTGTATTACCTGTGTATAACGTACTCTTTTTGTTTTCTCTTTCTCTAGGTTCTTAACACCCAAGGAGCAACTGTAGCAGGACAGGGAGGCAAGCAGTTCATTCTTCAGAAAAGTGGTGTACCTGGATCACAGCCACAGATTGTTACACTTGTCAAGACCAGCAAGGGCCTCACACCTGTAAGTTCATCATTCATTTTGGTGTGCTGCATGGAGGGGGGATTTTGAGATTTTGCAAAATACAGTAATTTGATAAAATGACTCGTTATTTTTGTCATTGTCGGTTTGATGTGTAGAGAATGCTTTACCTGTTGGCTTGTTAATTATTAACATCTACTGTTATGAGGCCAGGTAGGGCCCCTGGGTGTTTGATTTTACCAATGATGAGAGTAACAGGTATAACAGGTTATATTTCATTGGTATATAGGTATGTGTGTCTACAAGTTAATAGTCTTATTTAGATTATTTTTCTATTTTAAGTGGGAAAATTTGCTCAAGATTTTCTATTAAATATAATTGGAATCCAATTTCTCAAATATTTAATGAGATATGTTACATCAACATGTTCAGAATAACATTATCTCCACAGAGCCAAATTCCAACACCCACTGATTGAAACACACTCCTTCTCTAATGAAAACCAGCTATATGATTGGTTTATTTAAGCAGACTCTTGTAATAATTACAAATACTAATAAATTTTTGGTTCCAGATGTCCAAAATGAACCTGGTTCAAAGTAAACCTGGTGTGGGTGGCCAGGGAGCAACCATCGTCAAACTGGTCACGACTCAAGCAGGTGGTGCTGTAAAACCCATCATGACCACTTCCACTACCCAACCAGGACAGATTCTCAGCCTTCAAGCTGGTGCACAAACTGTTGGCAAAGCGGGTGGACAGGGACAGAATATCGTCATAGCCAAGCAACAGGTTGTTAAGATTTTTTATTAGTTTTCAATGTGCTAAATTGGCATAAATTAAGGGAATTTTTGGGGGCTGATAAATATAATTACAATTGTGTGTGATTGTGATGGTGTTGCCAGAAATCATGAGTACATGATTTCTGGCCAACAGTGTAAGAACTATAGAGGCATGAGCCTATGATGTGTTGTGGTGAAAGTGTATTACAAAATAGTGACTAGAATAGTACCCGAGATAACTGAAAATGTAGCTACCTATAATGATGGAAAATGTTAGTTCACTAGTGAGAGCGGCTCTGTGAATCAGATGGTTACACTAAGACAGCTTGTTGAGAAAGTGATTTGGAGATCATATGGCACTTAACACTTTCGCGCTCTCGGCGCTCAAAAAAAATCAATACCCTAGATGCTTTCGGCACTTCGCGCCCCTACGCGTAAGACCGAAAAAGTGTACACTCGTTTGACTGTCCTGACAATAATTGAAGGCGCACGTATTTAAATTTGGTATCACTGTGTTCGCAATGAAATTGTCTATAAGAGCATACCTATAAAATGCCGCCCAAGCATAAGGAGTATCAACACCAAATAAAAAACTATGCAGATCACTCGCCGAGAGCGCCAAACAGCAACAAAATGTTTCCACTCTCTTAATGGTTGCGAAGCCTACAGTTGTCCTACATCGCTAATTTTGGTATCATTGGAATCGCAATAAAATTCTCTACACGGACATATGCATATGAATGTTTAATATAGGTAATTGCCCACCCGCAAGAGTGTGGGAAGTGGAGAGTAGTTAGCCGCGAGCGCACTGGCGAAAACACAGGGGGGAAATCATGCTTGGAAAGTTTATACATTTATACGTTTCCTGACCCTACTTTTCTATGTACGTATTTCTTTTTTATACCAATGTGTTCGCAATAAAATTTTCTATAAGATGAAATGTATAACATTTGTACAAAGCATGTGTAAGAGAAGCGCCAAATATAGAACCACGTCGCTCAGTATGCGTTCACGGCAGAAACGAACGCATTGTTTTCGTTCGTTTGATGTTTCTCATGTTTATACTTGTTGAAACATTTTATAATTTGTATGACAGTGATCGCAGTAAAATTCCCTACACAGACATATACATAACACATACAAATATTTCCCACGTGTTGGATATATCAACGGCTAAAGGGAACCCACTGCCACACGGCCGCCACACCCTCCACACCCCCAAACATACTTTGTGTTTTTTTTTTTACTCATAGAAGTTTATGTGATATAATATTCATTCTGGTACCAAAAAATTCGCAAATAAATTCTCTACAAAACGTATATAATACAACTTCTTATAGATGATAAAAAATTCCAAATAGGTGTACTTACCCTGTCTATGTTGATTGAAGATCAACAGTTGAGCATTTTTTCTTCACTCCACCATCTTCAGGCTTCTGATCCTGAAGTTGCTCATCTGATGTTTCTTAGGTGGAGTGAAGCTGTTGCCGGTGGTTATTTTTTCTCCACCCAAAATATCTTTCTTCGGTGGTACCTTGTGTAGCAAGGCGCAGCGCACAGTGCCACATCACAAGTTTTACATCCATATATCACGTCCCTCCTTTTGCCAGACTTGTAACAAACACGGCATCTTTTTTTTTTAGCCAAGTGCACGAGTTCATGCGTCAACTTGTAGTTGAGACGTTGTTCTGAATCTATAATTCTTGTATTTTTTGGATTCACTGGAAGAATATTGTCTTCTACAGGAACCACCAAACTTGTAGTAGAATCTTCTATGAAATCAGAAACATCAAGTGGTTCTATGTCCTCAATGTCCATTTCAGAATTTGTGGTTGATGAGTGGGCTTTAGGTGTTGAGGTGAACAGAGGACGCCTAGCACCAGATGGCCCGGGTGTTGAAACTGCCGCGTCAGCAGGAGGAGCTGCGCTGGCATCTATGTCGGGAACATGTGGTATACTTGTTGTTGTTGGCCATTCCTTGCTGTTCCACGCCAATAAGGCTTTTATTCCTACTGCGTGAAACTCTAATAGTGTTAGTTTTTTTGTATCTGTTGAGTAGTGGTTATACAATGCGTATGCATTGTGCATGGCCATTTGCAGAAAATAGAAAGTGATCTTCTTGGTCCATTTGTGGGTTTTTCTTGCAAACTCATAATATTTGACCATTTGATCAAAATGATCAACACCTTTCATGAACTTATTGTAATCCACTATGGCCTTGGGTTCATTTTCACAATTTCTACTCCAGTTCTCCCGTCACCTTTACGAACGCGTTTCCTGCGCTGTGCTTGAGTAGTGTCGGCATTGTGGATATTGGTGATGACAGAGACGGGGCGCTTGTCCTTCCAAACTATAACAAAGGTGTTATCCTTACGCATGTATACGGTCGTGTCGGTTGCCATTTTACCCTTTACAACTTGTTGCAGATCCTTGGGGGCGCCACGTTGTAGTCTAAGTGTGCCACATGTGTAAACATGTGGAAGAACTTAGAAATGTGTTGGAACCGAGCAGACGACATAAACAAGTTGAAGAATCGACAATGCCACATCTGATTCGTCTGCCAGTACATCCTCATTGTAGGCATCTTCACTATGCCCATCAGTATGCACAGGGCCAAATATCGGGCCATTTCTTTCACCGACACTGGTTTCCACGTTTTTCTTGCTGACTCAGCCATGAGATGTATGACGTGTGTGGCATGCAAATTTGTTTCATACTCTAAGTATTCAACCACTGCTCTAGTGAAAAATAATTGTAAAAACTGCAATGGAGTAGCAGGTAGTGGAATTGTTAGGCCAGGGGTTGCAGTAAAGTTATCAACGATGGGAGGAGTATTGCTACGATTCCACTCATCACCCAGCCTAGCCCTCTTTGGTACCGGACACGTGCGGTCACCGCGTGGCGGGGCTGGGGCTTCTTCATCACTCTCATCCTCACTCTCACTCGAAATATCTTCATCACTTGAGGAAACCTCATAAAGAACATCATTTTCCGGTTCGTCAGCCTCCAAATCATCATCAGAAGACCCTGAAAAGGCTTCAACAACGTCGGGAATCTTGGATGGAGTGAGATTGACCCCACGATACAGATCGAAAATCCTGGCGATCTCTTCTGCTTTCCTAGATTTCCTACCTTTGTTTTGCGTTCCACTGCGTGTTCCTGGTGCAGCATCCATGTTCAAGGTATTGAATGGGTTTTAGGTACACGAGAACGGAAACGGAACGGAAATAAATGCGTAAAACGGGTCACGTTTGCCGCGAGAGGGGAGCACAGTGTGGGCACTTGGCGTGTCAACAAAACAATGGGCCGACCACGTGACTGGGTAGGCCGAGATGCCATGTGTTCGGTGAGGGAGAACGGGAATTTCATGGAGAACAATCTGAGAGTATCCCCATCCATTTCGGTTAAAAAATGGAATTTATAGAAATATTTTTTCGATTGACGAGAAAAGTAGGCAGTTATGCGGAATCGTAAGAAAAACCAGTGACGAGTTATCTCTACTCGAAAGCGCGAAAGTGTTAAGGACATTAAGAAAGCTTATGATAGTGAAAAGAGGGGTCTCCATAGAGAATATTGAACGTGGATAAAGTGGAATGTTATTGAATGGCATGAAAGCTTCTGTGCAGGAAGTTGAGCATATGTGAGAGTTAGTGACATGATGAGTGATTGGTGGAATATTGATGTAGGTGAGCACCAGGTGTGTGTGTGTGATGCTCTTTTTTTTTTCCTTATACTGGATGGGGTCATGAAGATGGTCACAGCAAGAATACTAGAAGATAGTGAAGATAGTAGGATTGGAATAAATTTAATGTATGCAAATGTTTTTTTTTAACAGGAAATGATAAGAGATATTTGTCTTCTGTAGTACTACAGTGCTTAATACTTTGTTTATTAATCTCCATACATATTTCCCCAAATAAAATTATAATAGTTTTCAAAGAGTTGACAAAATATTAATTTTTATATAATTGTTTGTTTAGCTTGGTACTACAACAGTAGGAGGAAAGCAGACGATAGTAATCACCAAACCAGGAGCAGGTGGAGCTAGTGTAGTACGACCACAAACCTCACAAATCATCGTAGTTACCACAGCATCTGCTATCAGAACATTACAAACTGGCACTACCAGCGTTATTACTACACAGGCTGGTGGACAAACTGCTCAGGTAAAGGAATTTTCGTACATTTTCCTAACGAAATGTTATTTATAAAATTAAAAGGCATTACAAATGTAAAGAAATAAGTCAAACGATAGGTTTGTAAATAAATACAGTAACCCAAATTGTATTAATATACTGTACTTGCATGGTGTTGTAGGTGTCGGCTGGTGGTGGCGTGAAGATGATTGTGGTATCATCAGGGGGTGTTGGTGGCACAACCACCACACAGGCTATCACCAAGCCCATGACCATTACAGTGGCAGGGCAGGCAGGTCAGGCTGGTGCCAACACCAAGACAGTCACAATAGCTGCTAAATCTGGCACTCCTAGTACCACAACTCTCCTCAACACTGGGTCAGGCCAGATCATTGCTGTTCCTGCCCAGGGTCTGCTGCAATCAGGGCAGCAGGTGAGCACAGTTTCCCTAGTTAGCTTGGTGTTTATTTCTACTATCTCCATTCTTTGATTTAATATTTTGAAATAGGTTTAATGCTATGTTTTAGGTAACTAGGGTGATGTTGAGAGAGAGTGAGAGAGGCTGCAAGGAGGAGTGATTGTTCTAATCCTATATATATAGATGTGTAATTCTAGTGAGGCATAATTTTTTGTTTTAACCTCTGCACTGCGCACATGTTAATTTTGACACCACCTTTGGCCCTCCGATAAAAATTTGTCCTCGGAGAAATTTTTCGGTCGACATTGTTAATTAGCCTTCCAGGAGGTACAAAAATCCAAGAAAGAAATCTCTACCTCATGTGGTTTAGCTGTAGTAAGTCAGAGATTTTTTTTGTTTTTGTAGAAACGAGGTAAAGCTCCACACAGGAATAACTTTGTTGATTTATTTTCATTGTTTTGTAGTTTAAGTTTTTGTAATGAGTTCCATTTAGTATTTCCAATTTTTATTTTTCTGGTCAATATTTCGAGGCTTATCATATTAACTTGAAACTGACAATATTTATGTATGAATATGAAACTAAGTATTTTTATTATTAAGTAATGAAACCCTGTGGCATATTTGTTATATTTTTGAACATTCTTGTCTAGCTGCTCCCTAAGGTCTGCAGTTTCTGAAGAAAAGGATTATGTAGTCTGGCAGAACAATGTATCAATGGCATTAAAACTTTTCAAATGGTCCCTGCTGATTCGTAATGATGCATAGGGAGTCACTGGAGGAAATGAATGAGTGATGTGTGGTGGCTTTGCTGAGTGACCTGTACCATCTCCAGCACTGTTATTTGTAACCTCAGACACAACAGGTGTTTGTTGTGCATTGGGGTATGTTTGACCAGAACTTCACCCATAATGTGTTCCCACATGTTCATGCCTGTGCAAGCTTGTGAACGCTTAGTTATTATTGAAGAAGGTGACGAGGTTTAAGTTGGTCAGTCATAAAGTACTTAGGCCATGGCTCCAGGTTTCTTCCTTGTTGACTCTTTGCCCACTAACTTGGAACTTAGTAACTCAAATCTCTGGACAGTTTGGCCAAATCACTATAAAAATTCGACCATCGTTTTATTACGGAGGATTCCAAATTAAGTGGCATTGTGCCCAATTTACTAATTGATGCTTTACAAATGCAGATACTATGCTGTATTATGCATTAACAATGTATTAATATAAAATATTTAATCCAGCTGATACATTTGAAAGGAAAGTGATGACTTAGCACTTGGTTCCCCTTTCACCTCGCCCTTCTACATGTCTTGTATTGACTCTCTCCCCCACTCTTGTTACGTCACAACTTGATGAGGGTCACTCTTGGCTGTTCTTGAAGTTCCAGGTCTTGTAACACCGCCCAATTGTAACACCGCCCTATTAAAATGCACCACTATAATATACACCACTATAATGGAACACTACTTATCCTGAGTAACACTTCCTCATCGGTTGCACTTAATAACACTGTTATGAGCTGACATATGATGGTTACACCGGAACCAAAGGTACACTGCCAATAAGGAAATGCTAACACAAGGATTAAATACGCTGCCACCATCTGCCTTTGACCATTGAACTATATCAAGCAACGAGGCAAGAAACATTGCTTGACTAGGAGAGTACCTTCTATGACTGTCATTAATTATGAAAACGGTTGTAAGCCACTATATCCAAAAGGCTAAGAGGATTCAACAATTGACACAGACGGGAAATTTAACGAGTTTATTGAGACCAAAATTATGTCAATCACCACTTATAAATGCTACTCTAACACTGGCAAAAAGTTAAGAAATTTGGACATGGAACAAAAACTCAGAGATCACACACATTACCTTAAGCTATCTGTCTCTCCCTGGCTGAGATGTTCTTCACAGCTCCGCTCTCGATCCCGGTGTACCGCCCTCTGCCTTTCCTATGTTCCTACAGGCCCTCTATATACAACCCCCCACAGGGGGAGGGGGAGATCTGCTGTTGCTACCCACCAAAAGTGTACAAACACTCAAGAAATATTTCAAAAAGCTTGTTTGACATTCACCCTACACTCTTCAAGAGAGGAGTTATTAATTACATGTGACTGACCTCTGACCTGGCCAAAAGGGGGAGATCCAGGGATGTTTGCACATAAGAATCTGGAGTCTAATTTCCTTGCATGAAATATTACATACTTGAAACTATGCTGACTAAGACTAACCCAGGAATTTTTAATCAATATACAAGATAAACCGGAGGTCATCTGGGCTGACCTCTTGGAGAAGGCTTCCCTGGGTGTGAACTCTAAGGGGGGGGGGGAGATCATGGGTGTTACAGTCTCGGGAATTTTGAAACTGTGTATGGAGTCTGCCATTTGTTATGTTCCATTTGCAGTTCCATTTGTTTACTACCGACACTAAAAAAGTTTTTTCTAATATCTCTATAGCTCATCTGGGTACTCAGTTTCCACCTGTCTTCCCCTTGTGCATGTGTTCCCTGCATTAAAAAAGTTTTTTATCTATCCTATCAATTCCTCTGAATTGTGGAAGAGAGAGTGAGTGAGAGAGCTAGTGCAACATGTGCACACTATTCCCCTGGAAACACAAACCGTAACTGACCCTGTTTTCCGCTTGTTACAACTTGTAATAAAGTTCTTACATCTTGGCTTAATGTGTTTTTGACGTATTAGAACGTTGTTACAACTTGTTATATTGGTTCTTATAACTTGTTAGGTGGTGGTAAATCTTGTTCGAACGTTGTAGCAACGTCGTAGTTTCGTTGTGTGTTTGGCGGGTTGTCTCCTGCTGTGCCATTCGAGTGTACATTTCAGTTAAATGTTAAACATTTCTTCTATGTTTGCTCTATTAGGGGGATAACAATTGCACTATCTTTTAGAATATCTATAAAATATCCATAACATGTTAGTGGTTATTAATTAGTAGGTACAGAAATTATTTTATATAAAGCCACTTAAGCCAATTATGCATGAGTGATATTTTAGTTTTGTAAAAACTGTCAATTTGATTAATTTTCTCTTTCAACAAATCATCTGAACACATTTTTATGGAATGAAGATAAAAACCCAATAAGTATGCTGTGCTTTGTTTGTGTCTCATCAGCTGAATAATACAATATTGTATAAAATCTTCCTTAAATGTTTAAACACTTTTCTTAATGCCAGGGGCATAAAGAAATGTGTTTAGCAGAAATCCAGCAGTCTGGCATTTGTTACTGCCAGCAGTCAAGCAGTGCCAGTCTCATTTGCAAACCACAACAGTCTCTTAAAAACACAAGTGCAACAGCCAGCACCACTTCGGTCCATACACAATTTCAACCATTCATCTATCGCTACAAAACACAGTTTGCTACCATTACATACACAACCACTAAGAATGTAATCATAGCCACTAAATGTAACCACTACAAACACAACCATCCATGCTCACTGCCATTCACTCCGCTTGTTTCAGTATATACTTGCTATACTAGCCCGTATGCTTACACTCCCTGAACTGTGTATATCCGCTTTACTCACTACGACACCTCCCAGTCTGTATGCTTAGATGCACCGGCCTGGGAATACCTTCCTCGTTCACTTTCTTGCAATATTATTTAGTTTGCCCTGGATTGTGTACAGGATGATGATAGTGTAGTAAAGGGAATGTATTTTTAAATGGAAATACAGAAATTACTGTATGAAGGATTTTTAATCTTTGAACAGATGCATATCATTTGTTAAACATTAAAATACTAAATTTGAATGAAAAACTATTTAAAATGGCATGGTAACTTCATATTGACCTTTTCTCAATATCAGTGCTTATTAGATTTAAGCGGCTTCGTTTTCAGTAACTTTTATTTATTTCTGCAGGCACTAACAATTGGAGGAAAACCTGTAACAGTACAAGTAACTACAGCCGGAGGCCAAAAAACTGTAACTTTGGTAACCTCTCAAGCTAGTGGAAGTGCATCCACAACCACAACTAACACTACTAGCACCTCAAGCACATCAGCAACAAGCCAACACTCAACAACACTAGGTGGTGCTGGGGATGGTCCAGTGACCTCAGATGCAGCTCTTGCTGCTTTAGCAGCAGAAGCAGGTCTAATAATGCCAGCTGTTGAAGGTGAACAAAATAATGACCAAGTTTCTGCACCTTCTGAAAACAGTACATTGCAGAACACTGGAGAGGAGTCTGTTATGTTCTCTAGTTCAGCAGGAGAAAATTTAAAGCAGTCTCTGGAAGGGAATAATGGCAGTGCAGTGAGAGAGGACTCGGACCTAAAGAGACAAGACAATAACTGTGCTACAGGTGAAGGTGGTGAAAGTGCAATAAAACAAGAACCAATGGATACAGAGGGAATAAGTGACTCAAACAATCCCAGTCAAACAGCAGCATCTGGAGACACCACAGATCCTTTGGCTACTCTAGCTTCAGCAGCTATTAATTCATCTCTTGGCACTGCGGCATCCGTCAAGACAGAAGACTCTTCCACAGCTCTTGCTAATGGTATTAGTCAGGAAACTGTAAGTGTTTTGTCAGTTTTATAGTATTATACTGTAAATGTATGTTTACTTATTTACAGTAGTTGTCCTCTTGATTCAGTGCATCATTATCATTACGTATTTGCTTTCTTCTGCATTAATACAGTAATTGATACCATTAAAATATTCTGAACAATGCATTTTTCATACTACATGATTGTCTAGTGGTCTTTTTGCATCCTAAAGTTTGTTCTATAATAAGGATGAAATAATATTCTAAACTAAAATAAGGGAGACTGCTACTGTGTGTACCATTGACTTAAGTAGGGTAAGGCCAAAGTTGGCAAGTTTACTTAAGTTTGTTACATTAGATACTGGTATGGATATTTTTTGGTTGTGTAATTATATTATCGTCTTCATTTCTGTTCAATATCTCAAGACGATCTCATTCTATTTATTTGAAATCTGCAGCACCTAGATATCAATTTGTCATCAAAATAAGGGTTGTTTTACTATTGGGCAGTGTGGCCAAGTGGCAGGTATATTATTTTGTTTAGAGAAGTCTGCTTATTTTGACTTGAAACCTGAAACATTGTTTTTAAAACCCAGCTTATTACTGTTATTAGGTGGTGTAGCCCAATGACAACGATTTGTATATATTTTATAGCAGATAGTATAGAACAATGTAGATGAGGGCAGATTTTAGTTTAAAGCTAGTACATGTATTTTAGTCTTAATCAAAGCAAACGATAAGAGTATTTTCTTAGCTAGGCTCCTCACCAACCCCTTCCTTCCCTGCAGTTGGTCCCAAGTCATAACACTGGCACCATGCAAACCACCCATTGTTCACCAGGTCCCTGTGCAAATTTGAGCCCCCACCCAGACGAGTAACCTCACAAGTTGTCTCGTCCAGGAGTGGGGTGCTTGTCTCGGTTGAGCATACTTTGCAGTGATACCAAGGATCAATGTCCCCCGCTGCCCGGTCTCTGGCCAGGCCTCCTATAACAACTGATATATATCAAGCTACTCTGAATGATCTTTGGGCTCTCAGAGATAGCAATTTAAGTAGCTATGAAACAATTGTAAGCATCCTACACCAATTGTTTCCGAGTGGCAGTACTAGATTGTACTACCTGGTTGTGGAGGCGGCAGTCTCGCTGAACCTGGCATCAACCTCATGTGCCTGGCATCAACCTCATGAATGTACACAGCTCCTGAGAGGCCAATTCACTTGTCTGACTGATTATTCTTAAGGTATAATTTACACAAGAGGTTCTATGCTTTAGTGTTAGCTTAATAGTGTAGTGCCCAGTGTCGGAACAAAGGTAGATGTCTTCAAGAGGCACTGAGACAAGTTCTTGCAAGAAGTTCTGGACCAACCAGGCTGTAGTTGATATGTAGTTGCCGGCCTGTTGAGAGGCCGGCAACAGCAAATACAAACAACAGACTAATGGAAATAGCGAAACACACAACACCCGCAGACAAATTTTGCCAAGCACAAATCCAACACAGCATTGTGTATAAGTGGCATAAACAACTTTGGCAAAGACTATAACACACACGGTAAAGATCAAGGCCACAGAGGACGCTATCCCAGTAGCTTGGATCACAACTCATTGGTAAGCAGTTCCTAGGCTGATAAAAAAAAAGTGATCTTGGAAAGTTTGGAACTGGTCTTGAAAATGATTGTGACGAATTTCGCCTAGGGCTAAAAGGAAACCTGGATATGATTGTACCAGTCCCCTATACCCTAGAAGTGGGAAGGTTGAAAGGTGACTTACCTTATCCGAATTAATGCATGCTAGCATTCTATTGGTGATTAGGTAATTGCAGAAATCAAGAAATTCACATTTTGTGGCATATGTTTGTCACTGTTTTAGGTAGGGCCACCCACCTGCCAGACAGGCTGTTTCAATCTATGCTTTCTTTCTAGCATAGTTTTACTGTATTGTTTAATTCGTGATTGTTTTGATGCCAGAATTATACAGTAAATAACAATTAGCCAAGGGTTCTTTATATATCCATGTTGGGATTGCATGTTGCTCTAACTGGCTCATTTGGTACGACTACTTACTGTATAGGTGCAATAGCTGCCATTGCATTATGAGGCAAACATTGTACATTGGTGTTTGAGTGGTGTGGTGCTTCCTCCCTTCCTCCTGCAATACTGCCAATTCCTCATTCATTTAAACACACACACATCATATGTATACAATTGAACTTATTTAGACATTTTTAATAGACTTGAGAGATTTATTTCTTACCACTAACACGTATTGTTATTTTAGGAATAATAATGACTTAGAGTGTGAAATAACACTGTTGACCTATTGTATATTTTGCTTGAGCATTTATTCCTGATAAGACAATATATAATCCATGGCTTCCGACTCGTGAATCCTCGGGTTATTTATCCTAAAATAAGTACAGTACTAAATCCTTTTACACTTTTGCAATTATAAATGCATGACCATTTATGTATAAAGCATTTGATTTGACAGCATAGCAATTGTTTTAAAGCAAATGCTACATTGATTTTTACAATTTTAGGAATAATGACGACATGAGGGTAAATATTAGTTGGCCTATTTTTTACATAAAAAAATAAAAGATCTTGCTTATTGACTGTATTATATCTGACTACTAGATTCTGCATGTTATAAAGATTCTTGGAAGAATCCAAAATTCTAAAATTGAATTGTTTGATTTGAATTTTGAGATTCTAAGAATCCAAATAAAGATAGATTCAAAGAATCTTAGTGCCCAAAATGACTTGTAATGGTATATTTTGATAGGTCTTAAATAAAAAGATTTTTGTTGTTTCCTCAGAGTGAAACTAAGAAGCCAGAAACAGAATGGTATGATGTAGGCATTATCCGTGGAACAGTATGTACAGTTCAAGCATATTACTTGCCCACTGAGGCTGAAGCTCTTCGAATTGAAAATTATACTGATGCGGAAGGAGAAGTAACGGAGCGGAAAGCAAGTGGAATTGAAGTGAAGTTACAACCTGGCACTGCATACAAGTTTAGAGTAGCAGGTATCAACGCCTGTGGACGAGGACCATGGAGTGAAGTGTCGGCCTTCAAAACCTGCTTGCCGGGTTATCCAGGAGCTCCGTCAGCCATCAAAATATCAAAATCTGCTGAAGGGGCACACTTGTCATGGGAACCTCCTCAAAATGCTGCTGGTGACATTGTTGAGTACTCTGTTTACTTGGCCATCAAAAATGCAGCCACACAACAGGTATGAGAGAAATAGTCATAATATTTTTAATATTTTATAGATTATTTTGTGTCCTGTATCCTATCTTTAAGGTAGCATCCAATTGGAGGAGTACGAAGTGACTGGAAAATAGCAATGGTTATCTCGCTATTGTTAGAATGGGAATAAAACTGAAGGCACAAAAGTTTCAGAGGATGGTAGTGTAGTGGGACCTTAAAGTAAGAGTTGTGGACAAAATTTGCAAGAAAAAATTTACTTTGTGGTTCTACATCTTTCAGATAAATAAAGATAGTTCTATAGAGGTTTTAGTAAAATAAATTTGTTGTAGTTAACTGTGGCAAATTTAAAAGTGAGAACATTGTGTAATATAGGTATAAACTAGGGTTGTACTGGTAATCTCTCAATTATGTTTGCAGTGGTCATTCTTCAGCTCATTGTTTTGACACCTCTTGGCCTTCAATCAACTAACTTCACACATTCCATTTGTTTACTACAAAGTTTCCACATGTGTCCCCTTGTTTGTGCTCCACTTGTTGCAATAAATCTGTCCTTGTCTTCCTTTCCTATTTTCCCGAGGAATTTTGTATCTGACACTCGTGCCTTTCTTGTCAGGTACTTCCTTGCCCAGTCCAGTGTCTTTTTCAATTATCCCAGTTCACATTTCCATCTTACAGACTAGCTTCTTGTGAGGAGCGGCATCAAATATTTTTGCCAATCTTAGAATATGCAGTCAACTCAGTCTTCTTACTCCTGTCACATCTTGATGAACCTGTCTTGGAACTTTATCAAGTTTCTAGATTTAACTTGTAATGTCAAATTGGATTGCACCACCATTATAAAATTTATCGTCTCCAGGTGGTCCACCATTTCCCCAATTATGTTTCTCAGTGCTTTGTTAGGAATACATTAGTGACTGGTTTAGTCATTCCTGTCTTTTTGCAATTTCTTGAATATTGGGACCACTAATATTTTCCCAGATTTGCTGGAGCTCTTCAATCTTTATTGTTCTATTAAAATTCCTAGTTAGCCTAAAACAGATCACCCCCCCTCGAGCTTTCTTCATCAACTATGGGTGATACCTGGTCTGGCCATACTGCACATGTTGCATAAAACGGCTTCGGGTGACATTTTACCTTTTCAGTGATATACCATGGTGTCTATTGTTGCTTCTGATCACCTGTCTCCACTTGCCATAAGGCTCTACTTTGGTTCTGTTTTATAAACCTGGGACATCTTGTCAAGCTCCTCAGGCAATACCATTTTCCCTTAAAACTTTGTTTCCCCTGCAATTTCTAATTTATTTCTAATGCGGTATTTAATTCTCACTTACCTCCCTGTGTGACATCATCAGTTTGAGCCAGTCCTTTGCTTTTGCCTCCATCATTATCATGGCTTTCCTGCATTTTCTGACCCTAGTGTGGTCATTTCTGGTTCTTTTGGCTCTTCCCTGTTTTGGCCTCTGCCTGTTTTTTAAGCTTTTTCCCTCTCTTGACTTTGATTAATTTTTTCTGCACTCTACATAGATTTCCCTCCTTTCTGTACAGTCTTTGCCTAGTAACTATGTACCTAGCACCTCAACCGAACCTACAAAGATGGTTAAAAATTTCCTGTGGTATGGTTATTAGATTGTCATTCTTTTCTTAAGGACCAATGAAGTGATTCTGCTCATGATTCTTAATATTTACTGAATGCCTTTTCTTCTTTTAGGACACAGGAAGTGGAGGAGCCCATCTTGCATTTATGCGTGTTTACTGTGGAGCTAGTAACCAGTGCACAGTTCTGAACACTCAGTTGGCAGCAGCACACATTGATACAACCAACAAACCAGCCATTATCTTTAGAATAGCAGCCAGAAATGACAAAGGATATGGACCTGCTACTCAAGTCAGGTGGCTTCAAGGTATGCCTCTTCTTTGTATAGTTTTATTTCGTGTACATTTGGATGGATGGATGGATAGATAGATACATATAATCATTTTTTTTTTTTTGGGGGGGGGGGGGATTATTCCTTTTCAGACTGGATGTTCTTTTCCTTAAGTCTGTTTAGACCACATGTTATGTGAGCACAGCAAAAGCAAATCAATAATTAGCAAGGAAGCTTTTAAGAGTGGATTATGAGAACTTTTTAAAGAAAAAATGCCACTGATGCTTTCTCATTTAGAATTTTGCTCTGTACTCATGTTGACTTTGAAGGCAGGAGGAATACCTGAGCTACAGTTTTGCAAGAACCTTTATTGCTCATATAGATTCTATACAGTAAAGCATCTGATTTACTACAGTAGTACCTCAAAGCACTTACAATATACTCACTGGAACAAAGTCCAGATATCTCATTAGCCACACAATACATCCTTGATTTGCAAATTTCTCATTGCAGTTTGTACCTTGCAAGCTGAAGTTACCAACTGATTCACCAAAGACATGTTCAGCAAATTGGGTGACTGTGGAATTTGCTAAGGATCCAAGGGTCAGAGTTCATATCTGTGGGAAAATTGATGGGCCTAGTTCATTTACAACCATTTCTGGCACATGACCTTACCTTGCAAAAATTAAATTTTAAGGGACTAGATCCTGAGAAATGCTGGCATTGAGGGTGAAATCTTTTTACATGCTGATATTCAAACTTTGCTAATTATTTTCATATTAATATAATTTCAGACTCTGTTATGGGAGCTGCAGCAGGAGGTCCGAAGGTGGTCATGAGAAGACCTGCCTCAGACAACAGGTCACCAGTTGCGGTTAAAAAATTTAAAGCTGATGGGGAACCAATGTTACAGTGTTGAACCAAGTTACCACCATTGTTTCCAGTCAGTAGTTGTACAGGCCCCGGTGTTGAGAAACAGAGGTGATATCTTTGGCCAATGATTTTCTGCTGAATATCAAGTGCCAAAGATCAAGTTGAGATCACCTTTTGTCCCAGTAGGGATGAGGGCCCTAAACCGCAAGTGTCAAGCTTAAGAAAATACTGTAAAGAATTGTTGGGTCTTGGCTGTAACATACAAAGAAGGCATAGTATTTTGTGATGTAAAAAGATTATCTTTAGTTTTCTCTCATGCACGAAGTAGTGTATGTAAACAGACTCGAACCCACTTGTTTTCTCCCATTTCATTGGTAAGTGTTGCCACTTGATGATCTGAACCAAATATATGTTGCTAAGTGATAAATGGGTAGACATACCCCCCATGACTTTGTTTAATTTATAAATACTACTTTAATGTACATTTAAGGTCCATCCAAACTGTTAATTTCCTGTAAATGTTTGTGTCACAGCTTTGTACCCTTAGCTAATAGGCATCAAAATGGCGTTCAGTGAATGCCCTAAATATTGTTTTTCAAAGTTAAAACATTTATATTCTAGTGAACTCTCCTGTCTCCATGTGTCATGGAGAAGACCTTTACTTGAGAATTGCCACCCTGTTTCTGGGAAAAGAATATTGTACATACGTGACGTGAATGAGGGGTTAAACCCCTGGTGTGTTCAGTTGCAGGGATATCCTGGAGACATCCCATCTCAGGGGTGTGTTTACTGGCAGTAAAGCATGACAGTTCTACGATAACTCAACTTGGCCTTAGCAAGCTACAACAATGAGGCAGGCAATGCAATTATCCCTGTATCATCAGTCCACATCATCATTTCATACCATCACCATTCATATATCCATTTTACAATATAGGGCCTCCAAAAGTCTTCGTGTCGATAAAGTAGTTATCATTTAGGTAAAATGGCCATTTATTTTCTCATAACAGAATCATGTGGATTATGCCTGATTAGTATAAGAAAACTAATCACTCCTTTCCTGCATATCATATTCCTCTTCCTTTCGATGTACATCAAGTTCATTCTTTTCATTCATATATCATTGTAGATACCAGTCCCTTATGAGTTACCTGAAACAAAGAACAGTACTGTATCTTGATAGCTGTAATTTTTACTATAGCAAGGCGTGTTCTATTATGGGCAGGCTTTTTTCTTTCTTTTAAATATGGGGGGAGGGGAAATGAGTACAAACAACAGATCAAGAGTGAAGTTGCTGCTGGTACTGATTAGCTTTTTCAGAGTAGGTCATGTACTGTTTTCCACTTTCTTCCAGGCTTCTCCATGCCTCATGTTTGTGGACATGAGAGAATTTTTGAAATATGTTTTTGAGACTATTACACCACTTTCTGGCTATATAATTTCTAGGATCTTCCTTTTAAAATGTTCTTTCTAGTATTTTTAATTTGAATAAACAGGCACAGAAATATATATGAACGTATATAATATAAAGCTTCATTACATGATGTGGTGATATTCATTTGTACATAAAATTATAGTGTTGTTTTTTCAAATATGTGAGAGGACATGAGGTTAAGTGTGTAATGACAGCCTGGATGGGACATGGCCACAGTACCTGACCAGATATTAACACAAAGACGTTGGTGCAAGATGGGTTTCAGACAACACTCACAGTTCTACAACCCTTCTTCTACCACTAAACACTTTGGTAACAATTTCTCTAGGCTGTAAGAAAAATAGCAGTGAAATATAATTAAAACCAATAATTTAGGAAAAGTGCTTTTAAATCTTTAATATTTTATTTTTCAAAGTAAGAATAAAATGAACTATTGAAATAGTGAAAATATTGCTTGTTTAATTCTACCCTTTATTATAGTACAGCACTGAAGCACACTTGTGATTTTCAACTAGATGCACGAGTATTGGTACAAGTTCATGACTTGGGGGTAACCATTGTAAGACATGAATTCCAGTATGACAAATATAGTATGATTTACTCAAATGATCTACACACACAAATGTTTTCGTGCATGAAAAGTATGAAACATAAATGCTAAGAGATTTTATAAATGGTCCAAAACACTGGGATACATGGACCTAATTCTTTAAATAATTGTACATTAGGCAAACATGCAGTATATTACTTAAATAGGAGACCTAGATGCTTGTCTAGGTTGTACATTGTCCTTGATAACCTACCAGAGACAAGCTGCCAAAGCCTGGCCTTCTTCATTAGCCCAAGAAGCGGGAGGTTTATGATCACCCTCGGTGAAGAATCAAACCTCTCAAAAGAAAGCAAAGTAATTATCAATAGAAGGCACCAAGCCGGGTAGACTAATGTAGCAGAAAGAAAGCAAAGTAATTATCAATAGAAGGCACCAAGCCGGGTAGACTAATGTAGCAGAAAGAAAGCAAAGCAAAACGGACTACTTCAAGGTTCACAAAGTACACAATTCAGCAAGCAATCCACCCAGTAGTTAGGTTCCCTTTTCCCCATTGCCAAATGGGAGCTGCCAGTTAACAATGATCAGTCTATAAATAGACCAACGAAACTGGGTGGCAGGATAGGTTTGAGTGTGTCTGAGCTTTGGGAAAAGGTTGAGGTAGTATAGTAGTAAAGGAAGAAAGATGCAAAGGGCTTTAAAACAAGATTAAAAAAGTGGAGGATTTAAATTAAAATTTTACCTTGGGGCGAGTTTATTGGCCAGCGCCAATCAACCTGTGAGTGGACACACCGCCATAGCAGCATGTACAACACTCCCCAATAGGCAGAAAACCCGCTGGTTTGTTCATCCTGTCACTTGTACCCAGACACAGCTGGGACTTACTTAACTGTCTCAAGTGAACAGCTCAAGAAGATTGACATTTGTCAACTCTTAAAATATTACTTTATCTTGCGGATGCAAAATGGGGAATCTGTTTAATAACAGTACAGTATCTATATTTGACATGGTATTTGCACAGATCGAGCAACGGAGTAACTCTCTCAGAACAATGCTTATTTCACGTAAATTCGTTAATAAACGCAAATGTTTTTATATGTGTTGAGAAAGATTGAAATATAAGCTTCATTTTAAATACTTTACCATAGATATATATAAAGTTCTAATGAAGATACATGTGTTTTAATAATCGCCGAGCTCCGACCCCGCACAGACTGATCGACAGAGCAACTCTCTCTCATAACAATGCTTATTTCACGTAAATTCGTTAATAAACACATATGTTTTATATGTCTCAAGAAAGATAGAAATATAAGCTTCATTTTAAATACTTTAACATAGACATATATAAAGCTCTAGTGAAGATACATACGTTTTTATAGTGGCATTCAGTAGCTTGTCGGTTATGGAATGCAGAAGCCTACGCACTTGCCAATATAGTGTGTAATTAACAAAGATACGCTTATAAAGCCTAAAATATTATATGCCTTCAGAAAGACAGAGATATGCTCGTTATTGTGAGTGCACCAAAGGAAATATATCTTGTTGGAGGACAAAGATATATCAATTCTAAAATAAGTTTCTACTCTCGCTCGGGCGAGAGATAGCACGACTCTCACCCCATCTATTGGAGATTCTGTTCACCTAATGACCCAAAGCTACTCAAAGCCTCCTAGCATTACTTAAATAATGAAGAAATATGGTATATTTATTCACTATAATGTTGGTGCTTAATGCAGAACACGAGAAAACATATTTACTATAAAATAATATACTTCCATTATGAAATAAGTAAATATGTGGCCTCATAGGAAGTCAACGGTCCAGGTGTCAATGTTGTGGAGCGACTTATCCAAGATATATTGTTGTCTGGAAAGTGTTTGTTGGCATATCAACCTTCTGTACACAGTGATCCAGTCGTCGCACTTCTCTCCTTAAATGATCGCAAATTTAGTTTATTATATTAACAAGTAGAATATCTAACATAACTAGCCAGAAAATATTTAAGACTTATTGAAAAATACATGTCTGGAAGTTAAATCGACTTCATAGAACAATAGTGTTGGTCTATACTAATCGTTATTCGTTAGTATGCGTTCGCTACTTAAAACATTTACTGTACTGATGTAAAGTCTCCCATGTCTCTTCGCACATGGAACACCGAACCTTACACACTCTCTGATATATTGTTTAATTAATAGAGATTCACTAATAAAGCTTATAATTGTATGTATGTTAACTTATAACATAATTGTATGTTATCAAAAAGGCATAGATAAAGTCGTTCTTACGTTTTAGTCACAGAGATTAGATATTAGTAAAGTTCATTTTATTCAGGAAAGTACATAAATAGTCGATTTACAAACATAATATTGGATTTATAGATAGAGCTAGTACATACAATACCTAAAGCCACTAGTATGCATAGCGTTTCGGGCATATTATTGAGAGAGGAAAGATATTTATATTTAAACAATTTTTTTTTGTTACCGACGCTCTCCCTATTGATGAGAACTACAACCTAATGAAGATAAATGTTAATTTTATGTAGATACTGTAATAAACGAAAGTTTTTAATGTCATCAGAGAAGCAGAAATATAGGCAAATTTTAAATCCCTTGTCATAAATATAACTGAAGTGAAAGCAAAGATATATGCATTTTGATAGTTACAAAGACAGCTCTTTAACACGGGTGGAACACGAACAAGGGGAACTTAGTACCCAAATGAGCCACAGAGATATTAGAAAGAATTTTTTCAGTGTCAGAGTAGTCAACAAATGGAATGTATTAAGCAGTGATGTGGTGGAGGCTGACTCCATACACAATTTCAAATGTAGATGTGATAGAGCCCAATAGGCTCAGGAACCTGTACACCTGTTAATTGACGGTTGAGAGTCGGGACCAAAGAACCAAAGCTCAACCCCTGCAAGCACAAATTAGGTGAGTACAACTAGGTGAATACAGCTGAGGGGCGGGACCAAACAGCTGAAGCTCAATTCCCTACGCATAACTAGGCAAGTCCATAGGAATTACCGTTTGTCCTGGCGCCATCTATGTTTTGACAGCAGTACTACTAATGTTCCCACGTTATGTGATGATCGCTATACGGGTGTTACGGTCAGTTGCTCTTCTATATATGTTTATGGACAACGTAGGTGATTTGAGGCAATTTGCGGCCAGAGTGAAATAGTTTCCACGCGGTGAGTGATGGAGGAGGATATATACTGCTGTGTACTCGACCAGCGGGTGAGAGGTAAGTTATATCGAACAGTTATGGGGAATAGATGGGTTATTTTAAGCGTAGAATGTCAGGTAACGGGTAACTACACAGATGGGGTAGTGTTTTTTAAGTCTTTATTTACTAAAGTGGAACATTACATTATGCCTTTAAGTGAACAAGTCTACTGGTGGGGGAAGTAGACGGGTTTTATGAAAGTATTTTACCTAAATATTTGTATTTGGTTAACTAGTTCAGCCGTTACCAGGGAGGGTGTTCCTTTAATCTAATCTAAAAATTCTAGCCGGACAAAGTGATTAAATAATTTGAATAGAACGAAGTGGTTTGCCAGGGTGCTTAACATTTAGTTTAGTTCACTTACTATGCAGCCCATGCTTAAAGAATGCAAGTTTATCATATTGAATTTACCGTAGTTTTACTGCATTTAATATACCGCTTTTACCCTATTTAATTGTCGGGTAAAGGCCGGTCGTGGAAAGTTCCTAATATAGCACGTTTTAAAGGAAAAGTTTGAGTTAACTTTAACGCTTAAGTTAGTGACCAATTAGCTTAGTCTATTGTGAGGAAAGTTACTAGAATCTAACATTGCAAGTGCCATTTCTCTACTCTTTTTGAGAAACATGACTATATACATGAATCGCATAGTTTTATTACTAAATGTTCATGGATTAGGTTGCATAGTTGAGGAAATGGTGATAAGGTTTGTGATTTTGTGTACCTTGACTTCAGCAGAGATTTTGAGTGGCGCAAAATTGATAAGGGCTAGGATCATTGGAAATGCTGACTGAAGTTGATTAGGTCATGGCTATACCAAAGGAAATTAGTATAAATGGGGTTAAGTTGGGAGAAGTGTTGTAAGTAGTGCCTTAAAGCTCTCCTTGGACCTGGGTTATTCGCAAGATTATGGTTTAGACTGCAATAGTTGCAGAATTGGCAAATAAAAAATACCGATGCCCTATAGTTTTGAAATGGTTAAGACTACCAGATGCAGTTTAATGCTGACAAATGTAAGGTAAAGATGAGATAGATGGTGTAGATTGTTAAGAGTATTAAATTTTTTGCAGGTGGTAAATTGTCCCCGAGCTGGCACTGCTCTCCAGCCTGGGATGTTGATTGGTTAGTCTTCAACTGCTTCCCAACATGGTAGTGAAGTCCTGAGCTGACATGCAGTGAGGAACTTGGAAAAGCTTCCTGAATTGGCACATGGTATGCCTCTTTCAAACCAGCAGCTGGCACAAATGTTCCAGCTAACTTCAGAATAGTGGATGAAGCCCACACTAAAATGTAAGGGTACAGTAAATGGACACCCCCCCCCCCTCCCTTTTGACACTGAACAGTTGGGAGGAAGGGGGGCTTATAGTTCTATTGCTACATTGGAATTAGAGGGTATAAGTTAATTGCTAAAAACATATTAAATGTTAGGGTATGGAAGTCTAGGCTTAGGCTAGTGGGTACCATATCTGCAAGTTTAGTCCTTTCAGGAATGTATTGAATAGAATGGTATGTTGAAATTGTGAAAACTGTAATGTGGGGAATTAGATCTTAAACAGCATAGTTGAGGGTGTTTTATTAATAATTTTAATGAAATATAAATCTTGTTAAAATTAACATTAAATGTTTGTTTAAATAAGCTTTAATCTATAACTGTATAACACTGTTAAGG